TTATTATGTATTACAAATTCTATCACACTTGACAGTTATCAACCCAAAACCATGAAAATGCTCTAACTCCCCATTATAGAAAATTCTTCAAAGTGATCCGTAATCCGATCCAAATCTGAATTTGGGGAGGACTGTCCTATACTGACTTCCCATCTTGTGTAAAGTTTATGTGTAGCTCAGTCTATTAGTTTTTGAGATACATGCAAAGAAACACAGACAGACACTAAACTGGACCCAGAGGTGTGCCGAGGGTAATAACATAAAAAGTTTTAGTCATTCTTCCTGTTCCGTGAAGTACTTATACAGTTGACTTACTTCAATGCAGGTACTGGTCAAGAAACAAAAATCTACTTGTATGTAGGGTGAAATTGGTACTTCCGTCAGAAATACTTAAGTCACAAATAATTGCTGTTTCCTTTAATTCTGCGTTTTCTTTAAAAGATTATTCTGTGAAATCTTTCTCTTTCACCTACATGACTGTATTTTAAGAAAAATGTTGTCTATGATAGTCTGTGAATACAAACTAATATTTATTGTTGATCTTGCATGTTTACATGCAAGTAAAAGAAATATAATTAAGGTTATGTGCCTGGATTTTACATAATTACATTCGATATTTAAGTATAGCTGATGCGACATCATTAATAAAGGATACAACAATAGAATGTGTTCATGTATATACCAGATATCTTAAGTGGTATTGTACAGTGTCAAGAGTTGTGTTTAAAATGCTAAAAATAATGCATAATAAAATGACAATTAAATACGAAAAGGAAATACAACAGTATTGAAATAAAAATGAATTTATTTACTTTAGCAAATGGTACATGTAAAAAAACTATGGTGTTAAAGATTTTTATAGATGTTGGTAATATTGAACGTTTCAGTTAGTCTAATTGGCCATGGAGATGTATTTTTTGGAGCTAAAGTTGTATATAACAGCTTTGGTATTTTATATTAGAATAATAAACAAAAGTTAATCTTGCATAATATTTTTAATAATATAAAAATAATACTGACTGTAGGAGTTTTTACCAGATTAATCCAGTATATTAATTAATACCTCAAAACAACAGAAATTATTTTGAATATAGACTGAAGTAAATGATACAGATTTGTTATTGCATTAAGTTTTAAAACGTCTGCTCTGAAATATTGTAGGAAAGATTAAAAAAATTTTATAATGTGTTTGTCTCGTGAGTTTTTCAAAATCCAGTATTCCTCGGGCATTCATAGTTATTTGTATTTGTTATTTTTTCTTCTGATTTATTTTTATTTCTCATATTTTTTAATTTGTTTATTTACAACCTTCAGATTACGAGATTCCATTATTACTTACTACATTCTAGTATAGGGATTTTAATTGTAACATAAACCTTTTTTAGTTCTGGATTTTCACATGTTTGACATAGTGTCTTTCTTGAACAATAGGTTTTCCTGGAGTTATGTTATTACTATTTATTCTGCCTTCAGAGTTATTCCTTCTGATTTACTTGTATTAAACTGTTATCAGTTATTTGTGTTTCTTATTTATTTTTATCATTTTAATTATTTTTCAAGATTTAGTATTTGTTGTTTATTGTGCTTTCAAAGAGAACAGTATACAGTAAATACTGTTCTTGAAGCCACACACTCTCAAAAGTAAACAAAAAAACATGGTATTATCAACCTTTTGTTAAACTAATAAAGTTTTATAATTTTTTATGTCTGAACAAACAGATCAATTGGACAGCAGTAAGTTTATGAACTTACAATGTTAAAACCTGGGGTTTGATTCCTCGTGGTAGACACAGAGGATAGCTCAATGTGGCTTTGTTATAAAAAAAGGAGACTATATAGAAAATTGAAATAATTTATTCAATGTATTACTTCATAGATTCTTTCAAAGTGCTTGTTACAAAGTGTTAAACGTAACTGACCTAGGCATAGATTAGTTTAATAAAATCAGAATATTCTTAAATTAGTTTCATCATGCATGTATGTGGTATGTTATCACATTGTTGTTATATTGCTAGAAAAGTGCAGTTAAATAATGTAGATGTAGATAAACAAAGTCAATACCAAATATTTTAATTTTAAGACTGACTGCCTTTACAAAATACACACAATATTCAAAGAGATATACTTAGGAGAAACACAACTGTTCAATACAGAAAGTTACAATACATGACTGAACTATATCACAGAGGAGTGTACACTGTCTAGGACTTTGAAAAACTCCACATTAACACATCTAGGTGCACTGTAATTCAGTTGTGAATAAGAAACTCCGAGTCTATGAGGTGTCAAATTTATATGCATTTGTGGTATGTTGAGGATATCTAGCAAAGCAGAGAATTCTGGACCTGCAAAAACTGGAGGTTTCCAGATCTTCATTTGCAATAGTTGGGGCACAAAGAATGAGACTGAAACACATTTCATACTGAATGCAAATGTTTAATGAAAATCTCCACAACTTACAACATGAACGATAATACTCTGTAATACAGTTCAGTGTAACACTACAAATTATAAAAGAACAAGTGATGATGGTGGTGTATGTGTAAAAAATGGAAAAGTGTGACTAGCTAGAGCAACGAAGACTATTGAACAAAAATACTCCTGTTAGTGTGTGTTCTTCCCACTGTAATCTAGATTAGCATATAAAAGAGAGTATCTTCAAGTTAAAATAGTAGAATTAACCTTTGGCAGAATCCAAGTACCTACTTGGATTTTACCGAACAGTAATAAAGAAATAATTCGTATTATAAACTAACACAATTTACACTACTACTTATTAAACCTATGGGTGCAGTTCTAATGCCTACACAAATGAAATTATAAGAAAGTCTGTGGTATTTTCTATGGGTAGAACTACACAGAAATAATATGCCAAGCTGCGATTACAGTGGAGGGAAACAACCTTAGGAGTTTTCCTAAATTCATTGAAACAGTACACTTAAATACAAAGTTATGTCAATCGATTTAAACTACCAAAGTTCCCACCAATAACATAAGTGTTAATCCGTGGGTCTTTTGTCTTGCCAAAGTGAAATGAGAACGGAAAAGTTTGAGGACAACCACTGCATAAATCTCCTACACTCAATCAGCAGACTACATATTGCAGTGTATTGTTTGTTTATTATTGAATTTTACGCAAAGATACATGAGGGCTATTTATTTTAAAAGTGAGTAACTAGAGGGAAAGCAGCTAGTCCAAATCAGTACTCGATAACCCTTGGGCTACTCTTTACCAATTAAAAAAAGTGGGATTCACCCTCATATAGTAAGCCTCCATGGTTGAAAGAGCGAGTATATTCAGTGACAGTATTCGAACCCGCGTACCATGGATTGCACGTCGAGCGACCTAACCTCCATACTAGGCCCACTATGCTTTGTAAAGAACTACAAAAAATAAAGAGCCCCCAGTGGCACAGCGGTAGGTCTGCGGACTTACGACGCTAGAAACCGGCTTTCTATACCCGTGGTGGGCAGAGCACAGATAGCCCAATGTGTAGCTTTGTGCTTAATTCCAAGCAAAGTAAAGAAATAATAATTGTTAAAATATAGTTTCCCAGAATACTGTAGTTAATTATGTGCGAAAGTATTATTAATCAGTATGCAACTGATTATAGGTACTGAAAAAATTGAATCATTTAAAGCTATTATATCAGAGAAAAACACATTCCTAGAATATTGTTGGTTTTTTTTTGTATGTCTAGTTTAACAGATGATGGCTTGAAGAAAAAATAGTAACGTGTTTTTTTTTACATGCAGTAATACGTTTTAATTGTTTATACAACGATGACACGACATTTTGGGATTTTATAATATTATAATTAAATAAAGTTTAAATCTACCTTGAAAATTAGTGTATATGTATAACTCACGAGCACAAGACACGCGTCGGAGTCATGTGCCCACTTGAAGTATTCGTCAATAAAATATGTTACGGGGAAGCAAGGTTAAACTCCAATAGGAAAAAAGAAACTTTCTGAAGACTATGCTCACTTACTCCTGATTTCAACGCTCACACGTCGTCCATGGTCGCAAGCATATAAAGATAATGTCACAAAGCTTGCAGACTTACAACGCTAGAAACCGGCTAGATAGCTCTTTGTATAGCTTTATGGTTAACTACAAACTACTACACAGCTGTTTTTGTATATTAATCGGATTTACTGTCACCTTTAAACATCATGCGTCTAAATCTAAACATGTCTCGTCGGTTGATTAGCATATGCAGTCTCGGTAGTTAATAATCTTGTACTTTTAATCTATATAATTCCATTAACAACTAGTGTACTCCAACAAAGTTTGAACTTTTAATTTGAGTCCTCTCTTGATGGATTCCTTTCTAGCACAATTCTTCATAAAATAGAGAATGTATTATAATTCTAAAAAGTTATCTAAAATGATAAATTATAAATAAAAATTAAACAAGAGGACAATATACATGAGTTTAATATTTTTATTGTTACATAAATGATTGCAAAAAACGTAACTGTGAGGTCAATATTCCTGTTTCGTTACATATCTATAATGGGCTAGACGGCCAGATCACAACCCGTCGGCCCCCAGTGGCACAGCGGCATGTCTGCGGACTTACAACGCTAGAAACCAGAATTCGATCCCATTGTGAGCACAGTATAGATAGCCCATTGTATAGCTTTGTGTTCAACTTCAAAGAAACAGAACAGTATTATTAAAATCAGACGGCATCAAGAAAAATAGGTAAAAAAACAGTAGTTCCTTACAAAATAACGAGTTATTGATATTTGGGGGAAAAAATATTTAATTTTTGCATTTAATATTTTCTATTTTCGATAGTTTTTGTCTTTTAAAATGGAATGTAGAAGAGCCATTGTGATTTATCCAACTCGAGTAGGAAAATTCGTTGCGGCGTGCAGATAAGAGTGGCCAATAGTATATCGTTTCAAACGTCACAGGTTTTACTGAAACTGAAAGTTCGTCGTCAACCACAATGGTTGTAGTATGTTTAGTGGAGTGTCAATGTTACAGTTAGTCTTGCATTTGTATTTTATACGCTTTCTTCTGTTATTTAATTGCTGAAGTGAAAATGTTTGACGATGATTTTAAACCAGAAGTTTTTCAGGAACTAGTGAGTATCTTATCCGTTATATTAAAAAAAAAAGTTAAAAGAAGAAATTAAGTACAGTATTTTTTAACCGACTGAACTAGGTTATTGGTTCTAGTTTTTTATTGAAAAATATTATGAGTATGGAAAGCAAAATGGGGAAAAAACATTCAGTACATTTTTAAAATTGTATCAAAATATGGATTTATAATAAAAAGAATACAAAAAAGTGTCTTCAGAGTCGTTTACCACAAGGGTGTGTAAAACTTAAAATTAAAATCACTAGGAAGTATCGAAAAACAAATTTCAAACGGTTACTCGTAATTTCTTAGGATCGTCAAATTCACAGATGTCCCAGAAAATCAATAATGTGTATGATAAGAAACAATTAAGGGTGTGTAGGGTCATTTACCCCCTCAAGGGCATAAAACTTGAAGCTACAATATGTTGGAAACCAAAAATTACTCTTGAAGTCACACTTAAACTCCAATACTTACAGGCGAATAACATGGCTTTATTTAAATAAATTAATATAATTATAAGAAGTATAGAGGGTCTCCAGATGCATTTACCAACTAGGAAATGTAAAACCTACAACTTCTAATTGTAATATTTGTTGGGATGGAAAACAAAAGTTTTGAAACAACACTTGCTCCTGAAAAGCTATCCTTAAATTTGCAAATTTCTTAGAGAAACAACAGGGTTTTAATATCAGAAGAAGAAATTAAACTGAGGACTTATGAGCCATTTACTGTTTCGGTGGAAGTGTAATTTTTCAGAACAACTTTGAGATAATGAGGTTTGATGGCCATGTCACACACACATGTTAATACCCTGTTGTTTGACTCTGACATTTGTTAATTTGAAATTGGCATAATAAGTGCAAGTAATTTTTCAAAATTTTTATTTACTTGCAAATACTGGAGTTTCTAGGTTTTATGCACTGTAGTGACCAAATGATCTGGGAGACCCTCATTATTATTGTATTAAAGCTCTGTTAGTGTGTGAATTTCAGGGTGGCTTCAGAAGTGCAACAAAGTTTTAAGAACTCCTATTTTCTTGTACATATTGGGTAAATGACCCTTCAGACCCCAGTTTTTCCTCCTTGTATTAAACTTATTTAAAGCTCTGTTGTTCATGTGTTACACAAAAATGTAAAGATGGCTTTGGAAGTATCAGTAATTTTCCAGTATTATTGTTTTTCAGATAATTTTGGAGCTAATGGGTTTGACGTCCTCTATTGAGTAAATGACCTTGGAGATCCCAGATTTTTTTTTTCTTATGTCAATTAAAGCTCTGTTGTTTATGTGTGACACATGTGAGTGTGAAGATGGGCTTAGAATTTTTCACAATTTGTGTTTATCATAATATGTTGTTTAATTCCATATAGTGGATTAATAATTGACCTGGAGATGCCTGTTTGTTCTCTTCCTATAATAAATCCATGTCTTTGTTATGATACAGAAACTTGTAATCAAGTTCAGCATCATGTCTAAATTAGGTTAGTGTACAATTGTTTTACATAAATTACAGTTTGTTAGAGAGGAAAAATGTTTGAGTGAATACATTTGTAGGAAAGGCATTGAAGGTTTATTTATTTTGTAGAGGCTGTTAATCTAGTTGTTAAGGAGACTTTATTAGTATAACTTAAGTAGTGCAGAGCTGTAGGTCGAAGTATTGCTTGAAGGGTTGATGAAGGATTAAGATGGGTTACAAGCATTTGGTTTAATTACGAGAGATGGACAATTAACTCAAATGTTATATAATTGATTACCTATGAGTACTGGTTACATTGATTAGTTATGTAAAATAATCCCATTATAAAAATTAAGATTAAGTTGATTAATGTGATGGAAATAAGTAATTGATCTAAATTATTGTTTGCATTTATTACTGTTTTTTATTATTTGAACTATTCAAGTAATCATAATATTGCCTTTCTGATTTATTTTCTTAACACTAGAAATAAATTGCCTAAAAACACCAAATTGTTGTTTTTATATAATTAGACACTCAACATTTTGCTTTATAGCTTCTTCAGGAACATTCAACTAAAACCAAACTGTAACTGACAGTACAATTTGGTGTTATAATGCCATTTATTTCTGGTATTAAAATGTCTTCTATATACCAGTATGCACTACAGAAATTAAATACTGATTTATTATTATTATTTTCAATTAATTCAAGGTTGTTCATCTTAATTAATTTGTTAGAACTCAGGAAAATATTCCACTGATTGAAATTAGTTCAGTGGGTCCCCGTATGTTGCATTTACCAGTTACTACCCAAGAAGACAGGAGATTGGTGTCTAATCATCCATCTGTCTCGACTCAACCAATTTTTAAATCCTCCTCACTTTACTATGGAATCTTTTCTCAATGTACAATGGCACTTTGCCCTAGGGCTCTGGTTGACCAAGTTCGATGTTACCAATGCTTATCTCCATAATCCCATAGGTTTCTCAGATTTGTGCACAAGGGTCAGGTCCTGCAATTCAGGGCTCTACGTTTTGGTCTTGCATTAGCACCTAATTTCTTCTGCAGAGTTGTACAAGGTTTTTCTCATCATCTGCATTCTTTGGGTCTGTGCACACATTGTTATATGGACGACTGGCTCCTTCTGGCACCATTCCGTCTTATTAGCAGAACAACACACAGATTCTCCTTTCAGAAGCCACAAAAGCAGGCTTTCTTATCAGACTGGAGAAATCTATTCAATCACTGATGCAATATCTCCTCCATCTGGGTGTGTTTTTCAATGCTCACTTGAGTTGAGCTCAACCAACTCCTATCAGGTTATAAGCCATGGAAAGAGCCGTCAAGCTTTTAGTTTTGTCTCCTTCTGCTACTGTGCAGATGGTTTTCTCTCTTTTGGGGATATTGGCATTCCTCGAACCTCTCATTTCTTTGGGACAAGCACATATGAGGTCTCTTCATTGGTCACTGTGTAACCAATAGATCACACATTTTGACCCTTTGGATCATCCTGTCTCATTACTCAGGAGCAACATCGTAGATTGTGAATGGTGGTTGGATCGAAACAACATTACTATTGAAGTAACCATTCCACCACCTTGTCCCGAGATCCATCTGTTCACAGATGCATCTCTTCAGGGATGGGAAGCTTATATTCAAGGTCAGGAGTTCTAGGGTATTTGGACAGAAGACAAGTCTACCCTTCATATCAACATTCTGGAACTTCTTGCAGTACACCGGCTATGGTTCAAGGTCTGTCTCTTTTGAGAGTAAAAGTTGTTATGATACATTCTGACAATTCCATGGTGGGTTCTCAGATTTCTTGTCAAGGAGGCACACATTCTCAAGACCTTTGTTTTCGTACCTTGGATCATCTCTACTGGGCTCGTGCTCATCATATCAATCTTTTAGCATGTCATGTTCCAGGAGTGATGAATTTAATTGCAGATCACTTGTCTCAACCCAACTGGATTCTTCCTATGGAATGGATGCTACATCATGAGGTTTTTTAGTGGATTTGCTCTCAGTTTGGGTCTCCAATGATCGTTGCCTTTGCAACTCATTGGAATTCTCAACTGCAGTTGTTTTGGTCTCCGATACCTCATCCTCAGGCATTGGCAGTAGAAGCATTCAGTCAGGATTGGACAGGTTTTGGATCTGTATGACTTTCCCCCAATTCAGCTATTGTCCCGGGTTCTGACTGTTGGTTGTTCCACTCCCTGTCGAGTTCTCTTAGTTTCACCATATTGGCCAACTCAAACATGATTTCTGCTTCTTCGATATCTGCAGGAATGTCCACATCTACCTCTTCCACACTGGTAGCCTCTGTTGAGACAACCTTGATCAAACATTCTCCATTCAGATGTTCGGAAACTCAGTTTTCATGCTTGGAAGTTATGCGGTCCTTTGACTTAAGGGTTTAACTTCTAAGGTTTCTCTGTATTTACCTAAATCTCTCCATAGGCCAACCACTGTCATTTATCAATGGAAATGGAATACTTATCATCACTGGTGTATTAAAAGGAATTTAAACCCTCTTCATCCTAAAGTATCTACCATATCCTGTTTTCTGACTTTGGTATTTGAGAGGCATCTTGCTTCTACAGTAGCTTTGTATAAGGCATCCTTATCCACTATTTTTTTGGTATTCTAAATTTCGAAAGATTTTTGAATCCTCAGTACTTTAAAGGTCTACTCAAATCTTTTCATATTCTTCAACCCAAATGACCTTTTTAATTACCGAACTCGGATTTCACAGTTGTTTTACATGCATTGTCTCATCCTCCCTTCAATGTCTTTGTTTCACCTTTCTCTTAGATTATATTTGTTGTTGTTGTTGGTTTGTGGACATCATCGGTCGGAGTTGTTTGCAATCCATGTGCATTGGACTCTTTATCATTTCACATTTATCCTGCTTTACATTTTCCAGCCATTTCTCACCTTTATATACACTCCAATCCTGATCATTTGTTATGTGGCTCATACTAACTCTTTTCGAGATAGTAGGAATTGATTGTTCATTCATTGGAATCCTTTTATTTCCCATGACTTATCTCCCATTACTCTAACATGGTGGCTTTGTAAGTTGATTCACATTGCTTCTAACGGATTATTGTTACAGGAGAGGAATCTTTTGCATGTCACTTCTCACCAGATTTGTCATATCTCTATTTCATTAGCTGCCCGGTTTAATTGCCCTCTGGAAGACATTGTGCAGGTTGGTATGTGGACTACTCCTAATACTTTCCTATCTCATTATTTATATGATTTGGCAGTTTTCTCATCTGAGGGTTTTCGACTACCCCCAGTAGTTATTTTAACCACATCTGTTAGATTTTAAACAGGGGTGAGTATTTCCTCAATCATATACTTTTTTATTTTCAGGGTCCTTTTTATTTTTCACTGGATCCCACTCTGTGGCTAGTGTTGACCAGGCAGGTATGCTATCTCTTTTTTTGATTCTACACTAGCAACCACTTTCACTATACTTACTACAGACCATCTAGGCACTTACTGGATGCTATTACCTTTTTATCATGGACTATCATGAGTAAAGCCAAAGGGGAACCTGCCCATCCCTGTGTATCTTCAGGTTGAATAAATCGGGGTCAGTTTGTTTTTAAAAATGTAGGGAACTGTACTGGTGGAGCTTGGAAGTCCTTACTACCCCAGTTTCCAGTTGCTGGAGTGGCAGACAGAGGATTTTCCTCCAGAGTGTTAAAATGTGTTCCTCCACTCTTGGAGATGAGGGTGAAGTTGGGGGCCATCCTACTCAGGTTCCTGGATGTTTTTCCCAGATGTCAGTAGGAGTGGCACCAGCCTTCGCAGGAGTCTACTCATAATTCCTGTCCAGATTTTACACGAAGCTATCCAGTTGGGGGAGTGCATGGCCCTTCTTTTTGATCAATGTTGGTCCACTATCTCCTCATAATTCCAAACACAATGTGGTCCCATTCTATGTCCTTGGTTGAGCACAGGTTCCACGTCTTCTCCATAATTCCAGGGGCAAGCAGAGTACTCCTTGTCCATTTGGTTGGAGAGTAAGGATGAATGTTCATAATTCAAGACCAGATGAGTTTTGTTCCTTTGGTTGAGTATGGCATACATGATCTCATCATTCCAAGCCTGGGGTGTGCCTTTTGGACTTCTTCAGGTGGAAGAGAAATTTTGTCCTCTTTGGTGTTGCTTACTTTCTCGTCGTGATTCCAGTGGTGCAAAATGCATCACTCTATGGCCACAATTTGGGATCCAATTAAAAATATATAAAATATTGCAGTCCAGTAGCCCTAGCCACCAACATGGGATATAGGTACCATGACCCCTTAATTCCAACCCCGAGTTGTAGAACCTCGACTATCTGGTTACCTATACTGAAGATTACTTATATTCTATTTCACCTTTGATATAGGAACTGAGTTTCTGGTGAAGAGCATGCCTGTTCTGGATGTGGTGCGGTTCACCCAATCTTGTACCATCTTTATCTTGGTACACTCCTGTTCTATACAAATGCTTTCTGTATGGTTCATTCCTGCACTGGCCCCTCTGCCTTCTTAATGTGGGATTCTAGCTATAGTGTCAGCGGAGGTAAGTATGTTTTGGAAGTTAACATTTTCCTAAACTGAAAATGTATTTCCAATAATATTTACCTCCACTGACACTCTTTTGCCCTACCTCCCCAATAAAAGCTGGTTTATGTATCGAAAAAGTGATTACATTATCTGAATGAGGTGCTTACGTACAGTACTAGATAAAGGGTGCATTGAAGTTGATGGAGAATTTTGTAAATTAGAATTTGCCAAGGACATTTGAGTGGGGTATAAAAGACTGGAGCAAGTGTTTTCAATGCTTAGATGGGCAAAGAGTGGAAACCCTGGAGATCAGGAAATAGCTATAGTGTCAGCAGAAGTAAGTATTATTGGAAATACATTTTCAGTTTAGGAAAATGTTAACCTTTGTTTCATTACTAGAGTGATCCAATATCGTAAATTATTTTTCCAGGTATAGTGTTTACCAATTACTATCAATATTTTTGAAACAGTGTTGCCTTGTTTCCTTACTAGAGTGTTAAAACATTGTCGAACTACTTTACCAGGCATAGTGCTCACCAGTTACTGTACAGTACTGTACTACCAATATGTGTATGAAGCAACATTCCTGTGTTCCATTACTAGAGCCTGCCAATGTCAGACTAGCTTACTGGGTGGAGTGTAATACAATTTCTACTAGCCAAGACAGCAGAGGATGTAAACACGTTGTTTTCTTGTGCTATTGTCTAAGCACATTGTTTTTATTTTTTGCTGTAGAAAAACCTTGTTTCCAGCTTTCCAACATGGCTCCAAAGCAGTCACCCAGTGATAGTAAAGTATTCCTTGAATGAAAAGAAGAAAACAATTAACTTTGGCACTAAACTGTTTAGTTCTTTAACATTCTTACATGCATGTTTTTTGTAGTACACTGTAGTTAAAAAAGCCATGTTACACCCTTTAAAAGTTATTCAAGAGTGGACCAAAATTTTTCAGGAATGCATCCCCATAATACATTTCTTAACGTAGTTTCAGACGTACATCCCACTTTTCATGAATACATCACAATGTATAATGGAGATCCCTATATTATTTTCTGTGAAAGTAATCGAGCTGTTAAATGTAATCAAATAATGAGTTGGGCAAATAATCAATTATCAAAATCCATTAATTGCCCAACTCTACTTACTACTATTACTGTCAGAATTTGTTTAAAAAATCCTATTATAGGTATAGGCTCAAATATAAGTATCCAGATATTGTAAGTATGAGAAGTAAAATGCATAAATTCAAAGTTTTATTATAACATTTTGGCATCCATAACAGCTGACAGAAACTTCTCCATAATCTTAGCATCTTGTTTGAAAAACTGTCTTAACTGAAGCCTGACCTTCATTTTACAAATCTTAACCTTGCCCTTTTATCATATTATCTTCAGAATCACCAAAAGAATCAGAGGCCTTTATCTTACTGAACCCCCTGGATAATCTATAAACACTAATAAGATGTCATTTTACTCTTTTCTCAAGCCTAAAATAACATGGACAACACAGTACATTTGGTTTTTCAAGGCTGTAATAGTTTGTATACCCACCTTTGAGGAAAGTAAAATATAATTCTGACTTTTATTTTTCAGGAAATCATTGATCTAAAACCTACTGTAAAGGCTGGTCTTCCATTACTACTGATGAACTCATTCATAAGCCAATTACCCTGTTAGAAAAATATAACTGTCTTAACTGAAGTTTAGCCTGTTTTTTCCAAATCTTAAAGTTGTGTCCTCTTTTCCTGTTACCTTTTGAGTATATATCACATAAATAAATCCAGAATCCATTATTATATCAATTCCACAGATAATGTGGTAAACATCAATAAGATCACCTCTTTTCTGAAGAAAATAAGAGAGTTCTTAACATAGCTCCATAAGCTAACCCTTCAGTCCCTTGAATGACACTAATAGCAGCTCTCTTCTGAACTCATTTTAATATAGAAGTATAAATAGTGGTTTGTATATTATGTATAAAGAGGTAGTTACATTTTTTGATTTGTGATCAGTATGTCTACATATACACCTGAAAATTTTGTTAGCATGTCTACTATCAGCAAGCACTGCCTCCATGGTTTGAGTGATTTATACACAATTATGCCAAGATCTTTTTCTTCACTCATGCATAATTGAAGGGATTCATGTCTATATAAAATGTGTGATCCAAGTTAGGAATATTAGGAACAAAATAAATGAGTTCAGGGCTCTAGTTGAAATGAAATGCTTTGATATCATGGAATATACTGGAACTTTGTTAGATGTGAATAATATTAGTAATAGGAATTATCGTGAAACTTCACACAAGTTATAATACAGTGAAATGCTTTCTAAGAGAGGGGGTATGATAGGCTGCAGCTTGTTAGAATTAAAAATGATAATCCATAAAAATGAAACTTTAAATCAGGTGTTTCAAGGGAGTAAAGTTTTTAAGTGGAAATTGTCACCTGATCAGAAAGAAGGAGTAAATGAGAAATTGTATCATGACATTAAGGTTGCTTTTAACAAGGAATTTAATGTAATAATTATATGAAACTTAATTTTAAACATGCTGACTGGGTTGTATGGTACCAACTAGTGAGAGAGAGATTTCTTGATGTCAATTAGGATAGTTTTCTATACCAAATCGCCAGAGAGCCAACCGGAAGGATGCCATTTTAGATTTATTGTTAACCACTAAGGAGGATATGATTATAAGATTTGAAGTAGGGAAATATTTGGGAAGCAAGCACTGCATAATTACATGTACACTAAGTTTGATGTTTTGATGTACACTGAGATTAAAAAGAAATTAGGTTTTAGCTCCTAATTTTGAGAAAGCTAATTTTAAGGCCATGAGACATGATTTATAATTAATGAATTGGGATAATGAATTAAAGGTTGATGTGGGACAGATTGGGAAATATTTAAAAAAGAATTTATTTTAACTCAAGAGGCAGTAGGCATGTTCCTAAAAAAAGAGGAAAATGATAACAGGAAAGCTCAAACTTGATTGGCTTACTGAAGACATAAAAGAGAAAATCAGGGATAAGTCCCATAACTTTAAGAAAGTTTAAATTCATGGATAGAATGTAAGACTTACAGAACTATAGGAAATAATAGGTGAAAAAAAAAGCTAATTGTTAAGGCTAAGATGTTTTTATAAGTATGTTAAAGGTAAACAAAATCCTAGAATTGGGTCCTTGAAGTATGCTGATGGCAAGGTTTTTGTTGAAGACAGTGATGGCTGAGTTTTTAAATGTTTTCATTATTTCCATTTTTACAAGAGAAATATTAGCAATATTCCTAAGTCAAAATAGGTAACTGTCATCTATACAAATCATTAGTTAGGCCTCACTTGTAATACTTCTGACGATCTTGTTTTATAAGTATAATATGGCTGCTAGATCTTCTACAACAGCTTCAACTAGCTGAATAATGACACATCAAGTAAACCTGGAAGCAATTTATTTACACATAAAGATGAATGGCATGATAAAGTGAAGTCCGGCATAAGGCAGCATTTGACTCAAAATATTTCAGACTTTTTTCTTCCTTTGCCTATTCTCATCCTTGTATTTTTAGGTGCTATGTAAATAAAAAAAAAGTTTCCCTCAGTATAATAAAAAATAATTTTGGAAGTTTTTTTTGTGATTTTCTGTATGTGATTTTTTTTTAGGCATTAGTTGCTGTTGCTGATTTGGGAAGGAACATTCCATCCCATGACATAGAACCCTTAATTCAGGTGAGATGAATTTACATGTACAGTGGACTTCAATTTACAAGTGAAAATATTCATTATATATTTGCTAAAGAAAAAACTGATGTGAGAACAAGATGTTGTATGATGAAATTTGTGTTTAAGGCAACATAAGCTTACATAAGTGAAGGAACAATTTAATAATCTTTTTTCCAGCATATAATAATTACTTATGTGTCATTAGTGACCCCAGAAAGACAATATGATGATTTTATTCCACACCTTGGTGTGACGAGGTAATTGACAATAGCCTCAACTATTTCAATAATGACAATAACAAGTAATCCTGGTAACTGTTTATTTGCAAATAATGATAAAGAAAAAGGTAAAAAAAAATAAAGAAATACACAAGACATTTCATAAATATGGGACAAATGACATTCACCCATGAGAAGCAAATCCAATCAGGTACCGGGAGATTAAAAACTGACATGGAAATACCTGCAGAAATGATAGTAATGAAAATTGTTAATTTTTAACTTTTCTATTAACTGGGCAGTTAAGTATTTGTTTACCTCAGCCCAGCATATGTTAATGTCATATGTTTACACTTATTAACATAACACTACATCTCAAGCTAACAAACAATAAACACCTTGAATAATTAATATCATGTGACCGAGTTATATCATATACTATAATTTTAAGCTTAACCTAGATGATTGCAGAAAATATAAGTATGAAACTTGTAAGTTATTATCAATAGAAGTTCAGTGTGTGTCTAATAGAAGTGTAATGATATGCTATGTAATGATCATGTGCCAACAGGTGCCTGCATCTGAAAGAAATAATGATAACATAAGAGAAACTTCTTTGGGTACCGATATTCTGATACTAATACAAGTAATAAAAGGTGTTCTCCAAGGTTCATGGTTAACATTGTGACATACCTTCAGTTAATAAAACTTGATAAACAATCTTTCAATGACAATATTTGTAATGTCAATTATTCTGTATAAATAATATCCCCCAGATGGCTACTTCTATCTCTGCAATTGATCATATAGAATGAATATAGAAGTAAAGAATAATCATTAACTAATTAAGAATAGTTTTTTTTTTTTTTTTTTTTAAAAC